TAAAATCAGTCATTTTTTTAGTTTTACTGCAGGAACAATTGTTGCTGTTTGTTTACATGATATTCAATCAGCCATTCAGAAGTCCGCCGAGAGACAGAGTTACAATTGGAGGAGTGAATTTGATGGTGTAACGACAAAGCAGTGAATCGGACCATTTAAACATTCATCTGTGTTTCACAGCTCCAAGGCACAAATAAAACCTACAACCCTGCAGGAATGAGGAACATTAGCACACTTCGGATAAACAAACACTTTTACTAACTCGGAGGAACTGCCGCGTCATAAACTTTTAGCAGGAAGGGGACCATTTAGGGCTTCTGGGTACAACTGGCCCATGTCAGGAAACATTTGATCTATTTATTTGTTTTGTTTCATACAGAAAATGATGTTTAGAAAGTAACGTGCTTCCAAAAGATATAAAAAGATGATACGGAGTCATTTGGCAGATTTGGACGTTCTTCTTAATGGATTACTCTTGTCTCTACATGTGTGTTTTGAGATGTTTTGGGCCAATCTAGTTTTAAAATCTCTCTAACATAAGTTTACATTCACAGTATTGATACTATGTGACATCATCTTCAAGAGAATGTGGTTCTTCTAATTGTCTGTGGCAAACCCCATCCAACCAGTTGATCTGGTTAAACTAGAGGTAGTATTTCAAATGGATTTAATTTGATATTGTGAACTCCTTTGGAGTTATTAGATTTTGCTCTGTGAGCAGATAATACAGACCGACAGACTAATAAAGACCCCGGGTTTACACCTGTCTCTTATTCTGCAGCTGGCCCCTGCAGGATAGCCTCATCATAGATGCTCAGGAAATGCAAATGAAACATTTGTAAGGAACGGAATCGGTACAGATCTTGAAGCCGTTTTGTTCTCTCTTCCCATTCCAAAAGGTTACGTTTTGATCACGTCTCGATCCACTTCTTCGTTAATCAGTCGGCGTAATCTGCCGTGACATCCGAAACCTTGCCGAAAACGAGGTTTGATGGAAAGCAGGGGCCGCGGATTAGCGTGGAATACCACGAAATGCCGCGTTTACGGCTGCCGGGCGGGCAGAACCCCAGCAATTTATTTCCATTTTGATCAACCTCCATGAAGGAGTGGATCCAGCGGGCTTTATTACCTGTGAAATGAACCGTGATGAGTTCTGGAAGGTGAAGTGCATCTCTCCAGCGGTTAATATTTCCTTTATTTTGATGAAAAATGCGGCAGAATAACACAAGACAGTAACAGTGGTAGAAAAACAGCATCCACGTGGTTAACTCGGCGGGATTGATGATACTGTTGGGTTAGCTGTGATGCGTATTCGGGGCTTTTTGATAGCTCACTTTTAGCTTTTTTTTTAGCTTTTTTGGGCCTTTGCTTCGTTGGTACTGGCTCCGGCTCATCTCGGTTTAGGCTGTGATGATAAAAAAACGACAGATCAGAAAACCTCAGGAACGAAGGAGGCAAAGAAGCTAAGACAGACCATTGATTCTTCTTCTACCTCTCTTAAAAAGTGAAACGAAACAGCGCCGGGCTCAAATTTTTTACGGCCTTACACCATCTTCCATCATTCCGGGTCGAGTGGGGCTTAAGAAGTTGGCCGATTTTCAGATTTTTTTCTTTTCTCCCTCTTCGTAGATCATAAAGCACCTCGACCTTTAAACTTTTTTATTTTTTTCCTCTTTCATTTTCTCCTAGTGCTTATACCAGAGCCGCACCGGTGAAGTCAATGTGCTTTAAATTTCATGATGTAAGGAGGAGTTTCAATACCCCGCGCATGAAAGGGATTTTCCCATAACACATAGTCAGCTTAGACTTTGCCATAAACTCCTTTTTGAATTCTACAAAGACTTGTTAGCGGCCTTGAGGTGGTAATACAAAATCTTATGGGTGTCCAAGCCGTCCCCTGTCCGGCTAAAGGCGTATCGGGGTTAAAAATAGCCAACGCAGGTTCGCACAAACACAAAAAAACTGTGTTTTTCTCCTCCTGAGAGGGTCTTACGTGCAGAGTGGGTGTGCTGCAATTACAATCCAAAAAACACCTCTAAGCAGATGAAGGTCTGGGTGAAGCAAAGAGGATCTCTGGCTTTGGAAAAAAGAAAAAAAAATTCTGGCTTACGATCATGGACAGGAAAGGAAACAAAACAACCCCTGCTCTATTTAAAGAGCGCCACATGGAATTGGCAAAGGTCTCCTGCTAAAAGGCAAAAACCCAAAGCCGCCGTCTAGTTTTTTTTTGTTTTTTTTTCAAACTTTGTTTATTTAACATTTTGAACATAAGACAGACATTGTTAAAACAAATTAAAAGTGTCAATACAAACTCAATGTCACAGGTCTGTCAACCCCCAATCCACCCACCCCACCCACAGGCCAAAAAATAAATTAATTAATAAATTAATTCATTAAAAAATAAATAAAATAAAAGTATAAATAAATCAAAAAGTATAAAGAGAAAAACAGATTTAAAAAAAAAATAAAATAAAAAATAAATAAATAAATAAATTAAAAAAAAAGGGGGGGGGTAGACATGAATGTAAATATAAATAGATAATTGGAGATCATGTAAGGTATTCAATTGTCCTCAGGGTCAAGAAGACTCAAAGAGTCAAAATATCTACGAAAAGGGTCCCATGTAGCTTGAAAATGACTTGACGGAGCCTCGGAGAGAACCTCAATTTCTCTACTTTGAGGTTGTAAAGCGCCTCTCGAATCCAGCGGGCATGTGAGGGGGGGTAGAGAATCCTTCCAGTTAAGTAGGATCAACGTACGAGCTAAAAGCTAAGGTAAATGCTATAGCCCGCTTCATTCCTTTAGGTAAGTTAGAAGTAGGGGGGGATTGCCAAAGATTGCAGACATTGGATTGGGGACAACTAGAGAGCCATATGCTTCAGACAGTGAGTTAAAAATCCCTGTCCAGAATGGTTTCAACTCGGGACATGACCAAAAACATGTGTGAGTGATTGGCAGGCGAGAGTTAACATCTGCCACGAGCATCATTGCCGCCGTCTAGTTTTGTTTTTAGAGAAAATCTCCCGATACGGACTGTTAAAGCTCCCCGTTATGCTGCGAGTACCCACTGTCCTTTTTTCTGCCGGTGGGAGTTCGGCGTCAGACTCTCGGGTTCGGGGATCTTGATCTTAACTCGGGCTTTTCATCCCCGTGTCGGATCACAACGCTGGGGGGGGGGGGGGGCCTTGCATCTCTGAAGGCCAGCAAAGCACCTCTCTTCATCAAAGCAAATACCGCGCACGCTTTCAACTCCTCTCCCCCGGTGGAGCTGCAGGCTCAGATGTCGCACGGGAGAATCAAAAAAGGGGGCAGCTTCTAATTCTGTACAAAAACACAATACGCCGCAATCTGTGAGAACGGGGGGGACTAAACAAAGATCAGGGTGAGATTGTGTGGAATTTAGGCCACAAGGGATCGTGTATCATGCAGTGTGTATGGAAACTATTAAAAGTTACACTTCAAAGGCAAAGGCACGTTCATGACTTTTTCTTGCTTTTATCCTGTGAAACAACACAAATGTTCATTTCTGCAACAGTGAATAAGATCATTGACTGGCATGTCATTTTACACCATCCCAAAAACATCTATAAAAAGACTCAGCTTCGAATCACTAGTAAAATAAAAAAAATAATGTGTTAGAGGTTCGGACCATTGTAGGACAAGCTGTTTGAGGGAGTCAGTGGATTGCTGGAAGATTAGAATCTCCTCCATTAGACAGCGTGATTCCAGCCATCTCTGAATGACTGATATCACAGAAATGCAGATAAGATTGAACCATTCAGTCAGAGGCGGGCCATTCTGGCTCATTTTGGGCTCCTACAAATTAAGAAGGGATGAGACATGTCTAGCTATCATTTTTTGGTCATTTACAGTAGTGAGGTCTGTTATTTTAAAGGTTTAATTGAACTTTTATTTAAAAATCATGGGGTTTTAATCAGATATTTAGAAATAATTCGGAGTCCAGATGTTTGATTGTATCTTTTCAGACTTTATAACTCATTTGTTACCATTTTGGCCTGTGAAACAAACTTTCATTATGGTAATTGATAAATAAATTCATCCTTACTGCAATGTAGTGTCCACATAAGCTAACTTGGTGTATTTTGGAGAGCCTTTTTACTTTCTGCAAAGCCCCTCAGATGGAGAGAGGACCTCAGGTGGATGTTTTCCTGCAACCAATCAGATCTCAGTGAAGTTAAAGACAGCACAGGTGGAGGCTATTAATGACACAAACCAAAAACCCGCAGGAAGACATGGTGTAAGGAAAACAACATGGAAAAATAGCTGTCGCGACTGTCACTTTTTTCTCGCTTTTGTAAATTGCACGCTGAAATGTAATCCATTGTAATCCAACATTTTCCAGGCACCCCCCGTCCCCGTGGCTCTGTTTCCATTCCACGGATGTGCGCTCCGTTATGAAGAGCTTATTTCCCAGAGTTGTGCCCCGGCGTCACATTCAGAACGAGACGTCATTGATATGTTAAGGTTGTTTTTCCGGCTGAATTATTTGTCAAACTGACATTCTGTTTTTTTTTTTTTTTTTTTTTTTGTGGCTTGCTTGAGGCTTAGCTATTTGTTGCTGTTCTGACACACCGGTAAATCACCGGAGCAGCAAATCCCATTCACACAGCTCTCTGTTTTTGAAGTGGATGAGGAGCTACACCTCAGTCGCTAATTGATGGTAAACCACGGCGAAAAGATTATCTATATCACCGCTTGTTCACAGAAATAGCTTTTATGGTATGTCGGGTTGTGCTTTTTCATTTAAGCCAGACTAACATTTTCCTCATCATCAATAACCATCAGATCTGATCTATTAATATAGTGTATCATGAAATATGCGTCAATATAGATTTCGTTACAGTTTTTCAAATTTGACAGAAATGGCATTTCCTTAGATTTTAAGCTGTCCGTCATCTTTATCTCGACTTGTCATCTCGAGCTTTGCTCTTTGAAGCACAAATCAACCATGTGACACCAGGATTTGTGGCAAGTTTAAAATGACAGGTGACTTGGCAGAGGCTGTCATTGGATGCAAATCAGGGGATTCATGTCCCTGATGGGAAGAAAACAGCAACGGGATCGGGGCGTATGAAATGAAATAAGATTTCTCATTGTTTTTGTCTGAGCCCTGGAAAAACAAGCAGATATCGTACAACTGTAATTTGCAGAGTTAAGGTCTAAAATCTTAAAGATGAAAGTGTAAGTGTGTTTATAAAAAGGTTTGGTGCCACACTTTCTTCTTTTTTTTTACCTTAAAGTGATTGGTATTACCTTCAAGATTTATCGCATCAAGCAGTTTTGTAAGATTTTGGGAAAAAGTTATTAGGTGTCTTTGTCTGTGCCCTGGAGTCACATAATACTTGTTTGAGCAAAAACCAATAGTATAATGTCTGTCTCAAGGTTGTGAGTTGGATGCACTCGCAATTACTGATGCAGTTTTTAAATGATTTTCATAGAGATTTGAATCCAGTGACACATAGGTAAATGAATAAAAACAACCTTGAAAGAGAAGAAATCATCATTAACCATTTGCAATATTTAATTGGTTTAAATGTGACAATCCTGTTCTTTGTCTTATATTTGTCAATGAAACTGGAAAGAACCATGAAATGTATCATTTTGAGCTCCCTGTTATCGTTTAAGAGAGTGTGAGAACATTACTTTTGACACTGTCCTGTTAAGATTTCACCAATTTAGTTGACTAAACAGGCTTGATTTCCCACCTTCATGCAGACATTTATGCCCCTCACATGCTTTTTCTGATATTTAACAAATGCCTCCTTTGGACTCTTATTTACCCATTTACTGAACTAGCAGCTCCTATACCTGTGACTCAAACACTGATCAGGTATTAAAAAAAGTGCATCTTTAGCATATGGAATATTTGTGTTTCCTCTGTAGAGATCCGCGAGGCCTTTAAAGTGTTCGACCGCGACGGGAATGGGTTCATTTCGAAGCAGGAGCTGGGCATGGCCATGCGCTCGCTGGGCTACATGCCAAACGAGGTGGAGCTGGAAGTCATAATCCAGAGGCTGGACATGGACGGTAAGGCTAATGGGCGGATTGATTTGTATCAGTTGTAAAAACAGAGAAGTCCTCTTGTTTGCCCACAAAAATGCTGGCAGTAATCCCACCATCAATAATCACCAACTGCTCTCTTTTCGCAGGCGACGGCCAAGTGGACTTCGAAGAATTTGTTACTCTTCTGGGTCCAAAGCTGACGGCAGCCGGGATGCCAGACAAGTTCCACGGCACCGACTTCGACTCGGTTTTTTGGAAGGTGCATATTCAGACATTCGTTTCCAGCTTATTAAACACAGGGTAAACGGAAGAGCCGCAGGTGAAGCACAATTTCTCCGCGAAGAGCCATTAGAACATCAAACAACTGTCAGTTCCACCCATTCCCTAATGGGAGGTCTAACCCATTGTTGTGACAAAGCCGGTACCTAATACATTATTGTTAATTTCCACGTAAAGTAGATGTTAATGTCATTTACAGTCAGCTCATTAGTGAATTAACTTATCATTTTGACAGCTTTGTGGAAATGAATGGGATGGAGCTCTTGTCAAGAGCAAATGATCCCGTGTGAATGAAGAGATTTGTGGGAATTCCTGGTGCAACCTGTAAATATGAAAAAGAAAAAAACTGATGGGGGAAGAGTTGCATTGCTTCATGTAGGTTTTGTATAGTGTGGGAGACGTCGTACTATCGGCCGTGTGCTGTAGGAATTTATCAAAAAAAGGCCTCCAGTCACACTGGAGAGCTCCACTCACGCTGAGCTGAAAATGAGTAATGCAGAAGAGCTTTTCCAAACAGCCACAGATCCCGGGCAGATATTTTGGTTGGAGTTTGCAGTTTTTTGCTTTTTTTTCTTAGTCACTCACATGTTGTTATCATGATTATTTTATATGTGAGTCAATAGAATTTTTTAGATCACCATTGACAAGGTGACACAAGAGAAACTCTCTCTATATATACATACTGTATATATATATATATATATACACAATTGTATCAAGCAGATGTTAGCTTATAAGAATTTCTAAACAAGACATTCTTTAAACAAAGACATGGTTTTACTTCACCAATTAAAAGAAGCTCACCTGCTGTTCGGGAAAAATCTAATCTGATTATGTTCCGTATTAGTGTGACACTAATACATAATCATCAGATTACTTCTTTAATAACACTCACACTTAAAATGCTGTAATATGATAATATAACCTCAAAGGAAATGACTCCAGAACATCATACTTCATTTGCGTCACACTTTTATAATTCTATAGGAAAGACAGTCCAATGTCACATCCCATTCCTAAAGCATCCGGATGCTGTGGGAAATGTAGATACAGGTGGAAGGCAATGCTTTTCCAACCGTGAATTCAAAAAGAAAAATAGAAAACATAGATTTCTCCTTGATGGACAGTTACAAGCAAAATGTTCCATCATCTACTGCCCATAATATCGTCAACATTTTATGAGAATCAGGAAGCATCTCTTCGCACAGAGGACAAGCGAAAAACAAAACAAAAAAAAACAATATTGTATAACTGATTTTTGCACCCTCAGGCAGCACTACAGTTAAAAAAAATATAAAAAGCAAAGCTCTTACATGAAAATGTAAAGAAGGCGGTATATATGAACATGCACACCACAGTAAGCTCTGGATTCAAAATGATCTGAGACAAAGTGCTGTGTATTAAAAAATTTGAAATTCACTTTGGAAGCCATTAATGCTTCATCCTCCGGACTCAAGAGTGAGAGCATCTGGCTTGCTATCAGCTCTCATTTTAAGAGCCCTCTCTAAAAAATCTCTGATGGCATGGGGGGGGTGCATGAGGGCCTTTGAAACTGGCAACCTGCAAAACTGGAAAGGCACCATCAATGCTCTATGCCAAATGCAGGTTTTAGACTTACATGTGCACCCAGTAAGATTGCATCTTTTAAAATTAGAATTAGAATTCTGAATCAACGTTATTCTCCTAAAGTCCAGCTATTGGTCATCTTTGTTCTGAGTCCTCAGAAAGGCTGTACCTTTCTGCCCATTTGAGTTTAAGCAATATTTTCATGAAATAGTAAAATGTTGCCTACAAAATATAGTATTGTTCATTGCATTCCATTTTATGAATAGATCAATTTTACAGAGCATCACAACTGAAAAAAAAAGTTTTACCGAGAGGACTGAATATGATATTCACACAGGGAAGTTCTTTTTCCCCATTTTGATTGGATTAGTAATTTAAGTGAGAAACGTGACAAGTTCCTGTTGCCTTACTGCTTTGAAACATTGTTCACGTTGAAATCTTCTGCACACTTGTTTTTGTGTGCGTGTGAGCATGCATTTGTACAAATAATATGCAAGATTATGCCTTGCACACTGAGCTTAAGCGCCCTTTTATTCTTATGCATGCATGTATTTCCTGCGTGTGTGCGTGTTTATCTCCAGTGTGACATGCAGAAGTTGACGGTGGAAGAGCTGAAGAGGCTTCTGTATGACACCTTCTGTGATCATCTTTCCATGAAAGACATTGAGAACATCATTATGACAGAGGAGAACCACATAGAGAACCCAGAGGACTGCCAAGTGGATATTGACAGTAAGGAAAACCTCATATCCTTCAGCATTTACTCTGTTTAATCCTGTGTTTCACATTTCCAGAACAATTCATGCCATTTGATATAGTCAGAGTGCTCAAAATGATTGTTTGACATATTAATTGTAGGTATTCTAATACTATTTGAAGGCGATATGAGACACACCTCTTTTTAGCAGTAAAAAAGAGAAAAAAGCTTCAGTAATAAAAAAAACACCTTTATTCCTCAACCATGCAAGGCTGTGAATCATATTAGACCATTTCTTTTTGTCCTTTTTTAAAGGTATTTTTCATTAACAGTTGCTCAAACTCTTCCAAAAATATTGCAAAACTCTTCTATGGATTTTGGATGAATGTAGTTCCATTTTCTGTCAGGAGGGTCAGACACTGCTGGTTATGGGGTGGTCAGGAGGAAAAAGTCTTGAAAGAAAGGATAATGTTTTTAAAAAGCGGTTCAGCTCAGTTGATAGGGGAAAAAATAAACACAACTTTCTCCAAAAATAAAGATCTAAGTCCACAGAAATTGAAGTCAGACCAATCAAGCTTGTGAGAATGTCTCAAAAGGGATTTAAGGGACCTCAGGGCTTCATGGTAGACTATATTTAAAGCTATACACAGTAAATGTGAAGTCCACAAACAAAGCTTTTGGCAGAAAAAGAAAAGGGAAGACTTGATTCTGAAAACAAACAAAAAAAAAAGAATGAACATGTCGAATTGCATGTTAGAAACTACACAAAATAAGCTGGAGAGCAGCCCTTGTTAATCGTATTCCACTGTAATGTTCATTTAATCATATAAAACACGTATAGATGTTCTTGAGATTACCGCTTCCATTGTTAAAAATACCCACAATCAGGGCCGTTCCAGGTCTCATGACTTGGCCCTGAAAGGGCGCAATCACACGCGGTGAACTCTGGAAATCACTCTTTGCAGACAATAATGAGACAATAATGAGCTCCTCAGCCGCACGTGGAAAGCTAGGACCGTTTAATACAAGAAACCCATTGTTCCTTCCCATCAGGTTCTTAGTCCTCACTCATAAAAGTTTGCTCATACGTGTATTTAACCCTTTAGCTTCCTGCTAAACCATTTGGTAAAGCACATTGTACTCGGTGGATAAACTGGAGCCAACTTTCAAAACTAGCTCTAAAATTGAGTTTAGGGACGTGATGCTTACATTAAGCATGAGTTATGACATTTGTGTTTTTATAAATTTCACACTTTCAGCATAATGTGTCACCCCAACTATCTGTGAAAAGCATTGATCCTGGTTGAGCTTGCTCCAAAGAAAAAGTGTAGATGTTAATGGTTTAAAAATATATTTTTATTTAAGAAGACATTTACTATCATTCAAATGTTTTGAGGATTATTCTTCAACATGGCAGTCAGGCGCTTATCCATTTGTTATCTGTTTCAAGCCTCCAATCAGCATTATGGAAAACCAGATACAGTTATGGAGCTCATATTTATTTTCTTTGTATTGTTCACCCCTTATTAATGTATTCAGGTAATGGCATGGTTTTGAGACGACTTATTTCATTTAGAAATTAAAATCAGATATGTGTCAAGCATAAATAAATAATATTTAATCCCCAGGTTTAATTTCCCCACTCGCTGCTTCCTTCCCAACTGTTTTCCGTTTTTTCTTTTGTTCTCCAGGCTCCAGCCCCACGCAGCAAGTCAAGCAGACGTGCGTGAGGAAGAGCCTGATATGCGCCTTCGCCATCGCCTTCATCATCAGCGTCATGCTCATCGCGGCCAATCAGGTGCTGCGGAGCGGCATGAAGTAGGAGCGTTGGCATTTTTGAGAGAATGGCCTCGTCCTCCATCTGAAGGCTACCTTACAGAGAAA